ATTGGGAACTATTATGTAAGTCTGGGGAGACATACATATGCCAACATGTGTGAAGTAGTATGGTCAAATATGTGAAATCCATCATATGTCTTGGTTTTTTTTTTTAAGTGTCACAGCCTCTTTAATTCCTAAGGAACTGATAGATTAAAAATAATCAAGGGCTGGATAAAGAAGCAGTAGTTTTGCATTGTTCTCTTGCTTTATGAAGAGTTCAGTTGTTTAGCCTAGTAAGTAACAGTGTTAGACAAAACAGGTGATCCCAGATAGGATAACATATTGTTTGACAACAACTTAATATTCTTCTCTCTACAACTACTATATTTAGAAGGTAGGTTTGGGCTAGAAACAAAACTTGCAAACAAAACAACAACATTTTTGCATCACAGTTTTTCCTATCCATATGAAAATACAAAAGTAACACATCATATATTGAGGTAAATTTTAATCTGTGAACAATCAATAGTGTCCCAAGAGAGGAAATAAAGTTTCTAATATTGAATGACTTCAAATTACACACAAGTACTATGTATGTCTCTAATGTTAACGCGTTGGTGCAAAAGAACAGACATGTATACTAATACCCTTCACAATGTTAGGACAAGAGGAAAGAAGTCAGATACTGTTTTGGAAATGAAAGGCTTTGTATGGCAGGTAAGTGTGCCACCTGTAAGCTGCCTTAATCCTGAAGCCTCATTTGTTTAATATGTTGGCCACATGGGTTCTTCACAAAAATGTTTTTAAAGAAGTCATTTAACTAAACCTTTTTCACACAAATTGCCATTTTGTCTAAAAGAATAAGGTCTTATAACTCTACAACATATGAATGTTCTTTGGAATACATTTTAAAGTTAAAATTAAACAATGGCAGGTTCCATTTAAGAGAAAGTTGCATGCAATGTACAGCTTAAAAATACCAAATTTACAAAATAACTTCAATTAAGAATTAAGAGGATCTAACCCTATCTCCATATAGAGTAGTTTTCAGTAACTGGGAAGCTTTTTGAAAAAAAAAAACATAAATACAAACAACAAAACTACCATTAAAGAAAAACAACAAAAATTCCCACATTTTAATTTTAACTTCATTGACACATTTTTCTATAGTTTCCCCCAAAGAACATTTCTAAAGCACAAAGAAGATTCATAATAATTTAATTAGATCCATTTTATATATCCTGAACATGTCTCTCATAGAAAAAAACTAATACTTTGTACACAAACTTTATTTACTGTGCCACATTCATAATGTACTGAGCACTGAGCCAAGTGCAAACATTTACTACACTCCCTGATGTGTGGAGCTCTGCTCCTATAAACACTTCATTATCTAGATGACAGAGAACAAGATTAGACAAGATGGTAATTAAAATCCACAAGCTAATATACAAATGGACTTTAGATTATGATTCTAAACTCTTCTCCAGTCTCAGCTATAATCACTATTAAGCAAAACAGTTTAAGCAGATCTGCCTCCTTAGCCCCTACCTGCCTCCATGGTAGGCGCTAATGACTGATTAGTGGGAGGTTGAAAGGCATGGAGCCAGAATAACCCAAAGGAACAAAAGGTTTGGAGAGTTGACAGCTTGGCATCCTTTGTATTGAAAAAAAATCCCTTCTCTTACAAAATTGTATTTGGTCCCCCACCTTTACATATAATTAACATGGACCATTAAGAGGTATTCTAAGAGGGAGGTGCTATTTTTATAACTGCTTGGAAATTATAAAAAAAAGGTATTTCAAAGTAATTCATGATAAGGAATGATGTAATAAGAAAAACAATAAATAAATAGCAAAACTAGAGAGCAAATTTGCACCTTAGGTAGCTGCATTCAAAATCAAAACAATTAGTTTTTGGTGGGTCTGTCCAAGTGCTGGCTTGTGTCATTAAGCTGTTCAGTCTAGCAAAGTCCGTACCATCATTTTCACTTAGTACTGCTTTCCTTAATGGCCATTTCTAACAAGAGAAAGGAGATGGCAAACAAACCACAGGAGAGGTAAACAGACATGTCAAGTCTTACTCTATCCTAGATCACTTTAGGGAAAACCAAGAAAAGTGTTCCTGACATAACAAAGGTTTATATAAAATTCCAAGGGCTACATAGGTTTTATGAAAACATTGAGTAATACTTTTTTTTGTGTGCCAGTCTTGGGGCTTGAACTCAGGGCCTGGGCACTGTTCCTGAGCTTCTTTTGCTCGAGGCTAATACTCTACCACTTGAGTCACAGCGCCACTTCCGGCCTTTTCTGTTTATGTGGTTCTGAGAAATGGAATCCAGGGCTTCATGCATGCTAGGCAAACACTCTACCCTTAAGCCATATTCCTAGCCCAATACTCTACCTTTTTGCTGTTTAGTTTCTAAGGTCCAAATAAGGTATAGATGAAATTCCCATGGGGTAACACTTACAATTTCTATAACCACTATGTCAATAAAAATGATACAGAAAAGGTATTGCGGCAAGTAACTACAGTAATGTAAATGCCTGATCAGGAGAGACTACTGAATAAGATATTATAGAAGCATTATCTAAAATTTAGTCATTCACTTGAATGGAAATAATTAGGGTATTCAAATCCCCAAAGAGGTTTATAACATGACATTATAAAATGTAGTGATTTAAATTAATTTGACATTTTTCTCATTCTCATCTTGCAATTTGAATCAGTATTTCAGGTTACCCATTTGATTTGGAGTCTGCAACTGCTCTTTAGTTAAGGTCTTATCTACTATTTTTCTTTGTTCTCAAGAAGAATCCAAATGCTATATACAGTAATGCTTCTTGATAGGTCTTGGGTTCTCTTCCACCTTTCTGACTGATACCACATCTTCTGGTCACCAGAGACTTTGCCTTCCTTTTCTAATTGTAGAAACTTTATGCTGCAGGATTCTTTTATATTTAGCCTATTTTGGGACTGTCCTGGGAAATTTATTAAGTATGGGCCCAAACCACAGCACATAGTATTTAAGCTTTACCTATCATAGAAAACTCTGTAAGGAAGCCAACAGGATTCTGATTAAATTCTAATTAAAACTAAAGACCTGCATCTTGAAGCCTCAAGTATCTTGAAAATAAAGGGAGTTAAAAGAATGAACAGGAAAATAAAATCAATGAAAAGAGGAAGATTTTATAACCATAGGGCAAGTCACCTACAGATTAAAAATGGTAGTTCAAGTACTTGAGAAAAGTGTTTAAGAGGAATGTGTAGATCTGGTGATGAATTAAGGAATTTATTTGAGAATAAAATTCCATTCTAATAAATGCATTTGTAACATAGTGTATGGACTTAGATGAATGAGTTCCAGGATAACTCAAATATTGCTCCATCTAGTGGATATTTTAGAGTTTCTTCTTATATGTGCATCAGTGGGTTTTTAGATTATGATTATAAACTCTTCTCTTTTGTTTGATAGTGAGTTAGCCATTATTAGGAATGCTTTGCTGAGGAGATATAACACTTAAAATCAACATCTCATAGCAAAATACAAAATTTCAGTAACATTGTTATCAGAGTTTAAAATAACACTTAAATTCTGATGGTAAGAATCTAAGAATAAAAATCTAACAATAAAATATATGTAATTTTATAATTTGCTAGGAAAATCTCTAGAGATTTTTTAAACATACAAGTATTTATGTAGTCATCTATCTACGTGCAGAAACTTAGGAATACTGATGCAAGTTTCCTACAAAAGCTTCTGTATATTATAGTGAAGGAAAAAAGAAATCCTAAAGTATGTAAAATACATTTCTGCCTGCCCTCTCCCCTTTGGGATGAATGAATTCTTTAGCTTAAGATTTATATTTCTGCCCCTATCAAGGTAAGTGCTTAATATGTAGTCGTGTATCATACAGACTTGAAAAAAATAGGAAATAGGATTTTGCATAGGATTCACTTAACAAAGCAAATAAGCTAGTAGCATCCTTGTTTCTGTTCTCAGCGGTATTTGAATAGTGTCATGGGTTAGAGATGTGCCTTACATTGTGCTTCACTCAAAAACAGTAATTTTTATATACTACAAAGTCCATACATACATTCCATAGGCTTTTTTGTTATTTCCTTCCAAAGTTTTAATACTGATGACAAATGTCCAAATGACACAGATTTTACTAAATAATAGGGCACACTGAAGTTGGAAGGAAGAGGGATGGTTTATTATCTGACAGATAGGAACTTAATGAGCATCCTGAACACAGAGTTCTACTAAGGACATCTTTTCTTTCTTACCCTTTAAGATATACCATATAGTAACTGACTTATCAAAGTAAAGCACGTGTTATTCACTTATTCAATCCAATTAGGCTAGGTGAATCATTGTTCTGATTAAGGAAGTGAATCATGCCACGATTCAAAAGATCTGTCCTTCACATAAACCTATGAGATCACATTAAAAATGATTTATTGTACATCTTTGCATTTCTTAAGGCATGAACAATGGCATACAGATGGAACAGGTGCTGGGAAGCATCAAGTCTGTTTCAACAAGGCTGGAATGAGCATACCACATCCAGAACACACTTGACATCTGAGCCACCGTACGGCAGTGGCCCAGGAGCTCCTATGGGAAGGGGATGGTGCTTCCAGACAAGAGACCGAACATGTAGTTTCTACGTTTTTTTTTTTTTAACACTTTTCATCATCTTTAAGCACCAATTACAGTTCATTTTTCCTTACAAATGCTTCAGGCTTTGGATTTTTATCTTCTGTTCCTTTTATTCTGCTTTCTGAGGGCATGGAATATATATATATATATATACACACACATATATGTGTGTATGTGTGTGTGTATATATATATATATATATATATATATATATATACACACATAATGGGGTTTTTTAAAGTTTTTTTTAAGGAATATGGTTGCAGCAAAACAGAAAGGATCCAAAAGTGGTTAGGAACCTGGTCTAATGCACTTTTGAAAATCCATTATAAAGATGAATAGAAAAGCAAATGGTAGGTTTTCAGTCGACCCAGAAACCACGCGTAGCTATACGAAACATAATTGTGCATAGTTATTTATTCATTCAGAGTGTGATATGTTTGCTAGCTTAATGTCTCCAGTTTACCAAAGAACAGGGCTGTCTACTTTGCTAAACCCAGGGTCCTTTCGAAGCTCCCAGTAGGTGTCGTTAGAAACCCAGGCTTCTCTTTGATTTGCATCAATAACTTTTCTGTGGAAATATAAAACTCAGCATTAGCTATAAACCACATCAAGGTCATTTGATAACTGTACCCTTATTAATATAGAAGCAGTAATTTTCAAGCTGGTTATTGTCCTATCTAGCAATAATGGATAATTTCCATATTTTTGGCCAGAAATGAATTAATTTTTATTGTTACAGGCTTGAAATGGAAGCAGGTAAAAGAAAGACTGAGGACAGAAGCAAATTACCTCTAGGCAGAGATAGAAAGCAAAGGACCTCAAACATAGCATATAAAAATACTATAACCACGTGTTCCTACCGCTAGGCTCAAGCATAGTTTTTACTTTCTGTTCAGGGGAGAGCATGCAGCATCAGTTTCTCAGAGAGCTTCTGTGAGGTGCAGGTATACAGGGGTCCTCTTCAGATACCTGAAGGGCAAGACTGCATTTCTACACCCTGGCAGTCATGAATGGCAACTCTAAGGTATGTGATGCTACTCAGTGTTGGATTGGCCCTGGAATTGTCCACAGATGGATCTAGAAACTACAGATTCATCGGTGTGAAGTACCAGAGGGCCCAAATCTGAGAAGATGTAAACTCTGTGTGATGAAATCAAAAGGAAATCCTAAAGAACTCGAGTGACCCAGGCCCTTAATTAGGAGCAGGGACAAGTTTTTACCAATCTAAATGGTGCAGCTGATGGACAAAGCCTTTTGGGGTGAGATCCTCATTCTCTTATATCGTCAACAGAAAGAAAAGATCTACAGAGAAGCATTCCTTTCTATAGTTGCTAACTTTTCCCATGTAAAATCTGACTCAATATTTTCACTGTCAAAACTAAAGTTAACAAAGTTGAAGTTAATGTTAATCAGAGTTCCCTGGACACTACACTATCCCTCACTTAATTTTTATCTCCGGTTTCTCATGGCTTGTCACAACCATTTATAAAGCACTTGGTGGTCATGGAATGGAAACTCTGAAGGATCTGATGCTACCCAGAGTTGGTTTGTTAGTCAACAGATGGATCTAGAAACGACAGAAGGACTACTTACTTAAAAATTCTACTTACTTAAAAAATTTTGGTATATGTTCAAGGTTGTTTTCTTCCATGTATCGTCTTCGAGATCTTTGGAGCTCTTCTACTCTTAGCTTCTCTGCTGCTGCAGCTTCTAAATTTCCTTCTTCCAAAAATCTGATCAGAAAGCAGTTGATATTTCAAATGTTATCTTCCCTTTAGAAAAGTGAGTCTCACTGGCATAAGATTACACTCTAGGTGCTGTGAGTGAACAGGGGACAGTACACAGTAACAGTGCATGGTGGTGCTGTGGAACTGACCCTCACCTCTGTCCCTCTCTCAATTATTAGGCTCTTCATTCACATGGAATGAATTGTTGTACTTTGAAAGACGGAAGAGGTGATGTATTTGGCCTTGAAGACTGCTAGGCTGTCTGGGTTCTATAACTTGAGATTTTTTGGGACTATGGCAGAGTCCAAGGTGAGATCAGCATGAAGTCACAGTTGCACTTCTTTCCCACAATACCAAAAGGCACTTGCTAAAGGCTTGGATGGAGGGTGGTAACTGGCTATTCTCTATTTATTTTGAGAACACACTGAGAGGCAAGGGAGCTTTCCTGTTTGGTTGGAGAGAATAAGAGTGATGAAAAAAGAAGGTAACAATTGGGGAAATTTACAAAAAGCTGGGTAATAAAAATAAATAGGACAGAAATTCAGATAAGGAACATTGAAACAGAATTGTGAAGGAAACAAACAAACCAGACCCAAAGGTGATTTGTAAATGTTTACATCTCAACATGAGACTGATGATCAAGATAAATTTGAATGTCAAATAGACTGCACGTTCTGCGTGATGGGTACTAAAGTAGAATAAAATGACATTCAACGGTAGGAGATATTGAAAAATATATTGGACAGCAGAACATTCAATACCAAGAACATTTTAGCAGAAGACAGTTAATGCACAAATACTTAAAAAACGTAAAAGTGGTCATGAATGGAACCTGGATGGCATATAGAATTTTTGGAAAAAGTAGAAAGAATTGTGTAAGAGAAGTCATCATGACTATTAGAAACAAATAATAAAAAGAAAGCATCGACCAGGCATGGGTGGCTCATGCATGTAATCCTAGCTACTGTAAAGGTTGAATTCTGAGGATTGTGGTTTGAAACCAGCCCAGGCAGGAAGGTCTGTGAGACTCTTATCTTCAATTGATGATCAAAAAAGTCAGTAGTAGAGCTGTTGCTCAAGTGGTAGAGCACTATCCTTGAGTAAAAAAGCTCAGAAACAGTGCCTAGGTCCTGAGTTTAAACCCAAAGGCTGCTCCCCACCCCTCCAAAAAAATCCCATAAGAATCAGAAAGCATTAAAGACAGTATATTTGGTAAGTCTCATATACTGAGGGACCCAAACATGTTGGGCAAACTCAATATTTAAAAAAAATATCTGGGTGCCCCTCTAACTTATTCTCTTATTTATAATTAGTTTAAAAGATACTCCATATTAAAGAATAATAGCCTACAGGGGTTAAAAACACTGGGAAAGGAGTGAATTTCCATTTAGTGCAGAGCTCTTGTATCTGTAGACTTTTCGTAAATGTGAGGATGGAGAAACTTCATGTAGAACACAGCTGTTATGGCTCATTGGAGGTTTGTGTTGAAAGAAGTCTCTGTTATTATCATCTCTGTTATTATCATCATACTTTACCTAGATTAGAAAACAAGTATTTCACTTAACATACTTTTTTCCAGATCCTTCCACTTCTTTGCAAATGATACAATATCATTCTTTCTAATGGATGAATAAAATTTCATTGTGTAAATACACTGGAGAGACAAAGGTTGCATGCTTTCACTCATATGTGGAAGCCAGAAATAGTTTATAAACATATAAGTAAATATCTTGGATTGTATACAAGTGTATATAAATGTATTAGCTGAAATACAGGAGATTCAAGGGAGAACTCAAATAGTATAATTCCTTAGAAAGACAAAGTTTAAAAAATAAACATCAGGAAGCGAGTACTTTAAAGGGGTAGAGTAGGTTCAAGGGGAATGAATGAAGAGAAGTGGGGGAGATTGCACTCAAGAATTCAGTTTATTCTACAAAATTAAGAAAATGAGGGAAGGGGTAAGTTGGGAGGCATGGGGGAGACTGTTGAAAGGGGTAACATTGATCAAGACATATTCTATTCATAACTGCTTTGTTATAAGGCAACTCCTTTGTACACCTACTTAAAGATAAGTAAAAAGAAGACTCAAGTATTAATGAGTGGTGTCTATCAGAAGGAATGATGAAATGAATAAGCACACGATAGTGATGAAGTGACATCTTAGTGATCTTTAACACCTTGCCATGGTCTAAGATGCACCTGAAATACTGCTTCTGTCCTTACCTTTGATCTGGCCTGAATCGGGCATCTGTTGGTGGAAGGAGGTCTTTTAGTACAGGATCTAACTCATTGAGCTCAATGGCAAACCTCGTGAAACCATAGTAGAGCTCATAGTTGGTTGGCAGGGAACCTGGAATGAGGCCAATAAATGTGAAAGGTGAACCACTTATAGAAAAGGAAGAAGTCAACTTTTCCTGATGCTTAATTAGTAGTGCCCTTGCTCATAGCAAAATCTGTAATCATGAGCACTAGATTGTTCAAGTAATAGATTTTCAAGTAAATTAAATTGCTTGTATTTTGCTAGGTGCGGAAGTTTATGTTGATGGACGAAGCTAATAAATTAATGTATTTAATAGAATATAGAACTTTAAAATAAAACTTTGTATTACAGTAGCAGTCTTCACTGGTTAAACTCCACAATTTCATTTCACATACTCAATCGTGGAACCAAATGTTAGGGTGATTAACATTAAAATTTCACCAGAAACACTGTTACTTTACTCCCTTTAAGAAAAGAAAAAGATGTAGATTTAAATTAATATTTACTGGTACTTAGTTTATCTTTTTTTTCTTTTTTGAGATGGGGGAGGGCTCTCTCATAGCCAGGTTCTTTTCAAACTTCTGGACTCAAACAATCCTCCTACCTCAACCTCCCAGCTGCTGAGACTATAGGCTTGTGCCACCATATCCGGCAGTGAAATCACGTGCAGGCTGCCCAGGCAGCACATGTAGTAAGTAGACAAGAGCTCTACATCCCCAGTGCTTACTGGTACTTCTTACTGAACTCAACTTTTACAACAAGCCTGACATATAGTCAGCATTCAGTAGTTACTCATGAATGAATTATGGCTCGTTCCTCACTGGCAAAAAAATTAATACACATCAGTGTCTTTTAGGAAACAAGTACGCAATTTTAAAGTTAGAATGATCTGACAAATTCCAATGAAAATAAATGTCATGTGGAGACTCGTTCCACATTTACTTGATAATCATGCACACATTACCAGGACTCTCCTGTCTTTTATTAAATGTCAATATATTGCAGTTTATGTGAATGAAAAGATCACTTACTGTGGCAAGTTTCAATCTATGGTGGTAGATATTTGCATTTCCTTTGTTTTATTAGAATAGAAAATAACATGAATAAGGATCTAATTTTACATATGCCAATTTCTTTAAACTTAATAAAATGCCTAGTTTTTGAAATGTTTGTATTACATTTACAATGAGCAATGTCAGATTATGTGTGTGTGTGGTGTGCACTGGTACTGGGGCATGAATTCAGGGCCTGGACATTGTTCCTTAGCATTTTTGCCCATGGCTGGCTATACCACTTGGGCCACTCTTGGGCCAGCTTTTTGCTGGTTAATCAATTGGAGATAAGAGTCTGCTGGACTTTCCTGCTTGGGTTGGCTTGGAACCTCAATCCTCAGACATCAGCCTCTAAGGAGTTAGAATAATAGGCCTGAGCTACATGTCTGGCTATATGTCAGATTTGGCTTACATTTTTAATCACATACTAAATATTGGCTCTTACAGATAGCTCTGTTAATTATAAATACAACTGTAACTGCTATAAGCATCCACATTTTAGATCTTCCTGCTAAAGGAAACATGAGGCAAATTGCATTGCCTCGGTCCTAAGACAGGACCCTGAGGCTGACCTTACCTGGTCTCCAGATACACTTAGCAGAGGGGGCCACGCCACAGTAGAGCCCTTCATGCCATTTCCCAAACAGCCGGTGTACTACCTTCCCTTCCTGATCCATCACGACCCCCTGGACTTCATTCACATTGGAATTCCAATAGTTCACCTAGAAAAGCCAAACCCAGTTCCTTTAATAACATCAACCTCAATAACATCAACCTACACGAATGTTTTCTTTACCTGAAGTCCCTCATTCAAGTAATTTCCAGAAATTTATCTCAAAATATTTTACATATATGCAAGGTTGGCCTTTTGAGTGCAAGTTAGATTTATATGTGTGTATATATATATATATATATATATATATATATATATATGGAGAGAGGGGGGAAAGGGGGAAGAGGGAAAAAGGGAGGAGGGGGGAAGAGGAGAGAGAGAGAGAGAGAGAGAGAGAGAGAGAGAGAGAGAGAGAGAGAGTACTATGTGGTCTAGGCCGCTTTACTTATGATCCTCTCCTAAGTTCAGTCCACACAGTCTTCTGAGTGCTACAGCGATAGCATGGTCATACAACGTAGAGAAAGCTAATAAGGTTTCTATCCTAAGAACCTAATATTAATTTACAAATTACTATTTTTTTCTCTTAGATCTTTTTATCTGAATTCTCCCATTACTCATAGATTTTAGTGAACTTCAATCACACATAAGTGAACATGGAGGTAATATTGTATGTTCTAATTCAGATGAGAGTAGCTGAGGGAAAATCACCATTGTATAGGAATTTCTGTTTGTTTATTGATTGATTGATTGATTGTGATTTATATACATATTTTTTGTACTGGTCCTCGGGCTTGAACTCAGGGCCTGCACACTGTCCTCGAGATTTTTGCTTAAGGTTAGCACTCTTAGCACTGGAGCTATAGCTCCATTTCCAGCTTTTTTTTTTTTTTTTTAGCAATTAATTGAAGATAAGTGTGTCACAGTCTTTCCTGCCTGGGCTGCCTTCAAACCACAATTCTCAGGTCTCAGCCTCCTGAGTAGCTATGATTACAGGTGTAAGCCATTGGCACTTGGGTCTATAGACATTTCTTTTCTTTTTTTGTGGGGGGGTCCGATCGTGGGGCCTGAACTCTGGGCCTGGGTGCTGTCCCTCAGCTCTTCAGCTCAAGGCTAGCGCTCTTCCACTTGAGCCACAACGCCACTTCCAGCTTTTTTTTCTGCTTATGTAGTGCTGAGGAATCGAACCCAGGGCCTGAAGCATGCAAGGCAAGCGCTCTCCCACTGAGCCACCTTCCCAGCCCTCTATAGACATTTCTATGCAAACATATTTTCTGTTCAAAGTAATGCTTTTTGTTGAACTTTTCTGGCTTACCATAGTGGTGGGTTGGGTAAGCTCATACTGATGAGTCAGTAGTTGTCATCTTTATGCCTAATTTATTCAAGTATTCAGAAAGTGACAACTGCATTATCTCCCTAAAATCATCTTCTGGGTAATAGTCTCTCTAAAATATAATCACTTAAATACTATATTGTAATCAAAATGCATTAGGGATAGATACAGAAGCCAGAAACTTGATACTGATGAGAAGAATTATATGGAATCTTACTCAATGAACTACTGACTTGCTACTAAAAAAAGAAGATTATTTAAGAAAAATATTCATTATTTTGTGCTATAAAATAGCTTTTTTTTTATTTCCACATACCTTCTTATCATAAATGTCCTTAGGACTAAGGATGACACAGGACAGACTTACTTGATACTACTAAAGGTAATGTTTTGTTTTTTTTCCTTGGGACACATTTTACCCTCTTTATTCTATGATATTATTTACCTTGACAAATGTAAGTTTGCAAATGCAAACACTGCTTTTGGTATTTCTAATGGTTATTTCTCCATAATGTTCTATCCATCTTCTCCCACTGAGGATGTTGTGTATACATGTGGTAACTTTATTCCATACATAGTAATCTCCATACCTAGTAAAGAATAGCACATTGATTAAAAACAATAAAGGTCACAAATACAATAATATGATGTTCCTACCAATGAAAATAATCATTGGGGAAAGTTTCCTTTTTCCTCATTTTTCTGTTCATTTCTTGACAATTTCTATGTGGCCATAAATATATATGACATGATTTATTCACCTAAGGGACACTGAAGTGCTCTCTATATGTCTAAAGTCAGAAAGTTGGCCAGGGCCTGTTTCCTATTCCTTTAAGGCTATCTGTATGGTACAGAGATATTAATACATAAACAAATATTCAAACATTTATATAGAGAGAGCTACAAAGGAACACAGAGGGGAGATTCCTTAGGCCTCAGCACTGTCTGGAATGTAAATTGGTTGTCAGGGGAATGGCTTCAAACTCATGTTTGGAGATGGTAGAAAGGGCATGTGTAAGTCATAGGGGCCAGAAGAGCAGCAGTTTCTGGGGGCCTGTGAATGGTGTGCTCTGAGTCAGTGGCTGTGGTGGGAGCCAGAGATGGAAAGGAGATGACTCAGAGCAGAAAGGCTTTGAGTGACCTACAAAGGGTCTACTTTTACTAGCAGATAATAGGTCATTGTGTAAGGATTGAAGGGAGGTAAAGGCTTAATGAAGTCTCCTTAGAGAACACTGTTTCCTATACCACATATGAATAATTCTTTGGGAAAATAAATGACAAGCTTAACTAAGAAGACATAATTATAACCCACATTCTGGAGAGTAAAGTTATAGAATTTTTCAAAGAACAAAATGATATAACTTCAAATCATATAGCTTTCTACATTTTACATATATATAAATAAATATTATTCAGAATAATGTAGGCATTGTTGGTATAATTAATGTAGGCACTGTTCAACAGTTGAACAAAAATTGAACAATAACAAAAATTGGTCTCAGTAAGAACATCAATTAATTTAAAAAGATTTATGAGAAATATCCTCCAGAACACTACCATAAAGTAATCCATCATTCATCATTGCAAAAATAACTTCAAAATGTAAAACAGATCCTGGACTTAAGTTAAATTAAAAGTGTGGGTAAAAGAAATGGTTAGAGGAGAACCTTTTTTTGTTGTTGTTCAGTTATGGGGCTTGAACTCAGGGCCTGGGCACTGTTCTTGTGCTTTTTTGCTCAAGGCTAGCACTCTAACACTTTGAGCCACAGCACCAATTTTAGTTTTCTGGTGGTTAATTGCCAATAAGAGTCTCATGGACTTTCCTGCCCAGACTGGCTTTGAACTATGATCCTCAGATCTTAGCTTCCTGAGTAACTAGGATTATATGTGTGAGCCACCAGCACCTGTCTGAGAATCTTTAATATAAAATGCAAACTAGCATGACAACTGGTACATGGTAGGCACCTGAGTTTTACTGATGAATGAAGGATATGAAGATATAAATGGAAGCTTTAGTAATATGTTGTCATTTAGTTTTGTGGGGTCCATATGTAAAACCCTTGTTGAAGGTAACAAGCTTTAGACATTTTAAAAAATAAAACCCTTACTATCTTCTAGTCAAAAATACCCATTTCTCATTTAGAAAGCCATCAAAAGTCCAAAAGGGAGAAGTTCTACCTACTTTGGAAGCATGACATTCAGTGTTCCCACAGGCAGGATTTCCATTGACTTTCCCCAGAACTTGTTTTTCCATCTGATATCTACATGATACAGGCAGAAGACAAAAATATATACATCATATCTAATCATTTGTAGGTAAAAACTAACTTTTGTGTGATACTTTACAAAAGCTTTATTTGTTTTTTTATGAAAAGCTTTTTTTTTGTCGGCCATGGGGCCTGAACTCTGGGCCTGGCTGCTGTCCTTCAGCTCTTCAGCTCAAGGCTAGCGTGCTACCATTTGAGCCACAGCACCACTTACAGCTTTTTCTGCTTATGTGGTACTGAGGAATTGAACCCAGGGCCTCGTGCATGCAAGGCAAGCACTCTACCACTGAGCTACCCTCCCAGCCTCTTTTACAAAAAGCTTTTTATAATTAAAATTTGTTTTATACTTGGATTTATTTTATTTTATGTATTTATTTTTGGCCAGTCCTGGGGCTTGAACTCAGGGCCTGGGCACTGTCCCTGAGCTGCTTTTGCTTAAGGCTAGCACTCTACCACTTGAGCCACAGTGCCACTTCCATTTTTTTCTGTGTATGTGATACTGAGGAATTGAAGCCAGGGCTTCATGCATGCTAGGCAAGCACTCTACCACTAAGCCACATTCCCAGTCCTATACTGTGGATTTGGCATGAGAATCTGAAGATGGCCCAAAGTGATGTGATCAGAAATAAACTTTACTGTCTGTCTGTGTCTCTATAATCATGCTCCATATTTGTTTTCAACAAACAAAGCTAGGAGAATCCTGGAATAAGACATGAGTGTGTGCACATGTATTGTGCATTTGTAAATACACACAAACACAGACTCTACAATATTTACTGTTCAGAGAGTAATACATGCTAAGTTCTGCCTAAATGGTAAAATAGCAAACATACGTATCAAGCCTGAGGTATATGTAAAAATAATTGCAATATGGCAAGACCACTGACTTATGTATACATTTACCCCCTGCACAGAATAGTTATATGACTTGAGAGAACAGTAGAGAAATGAAATATCTAAATACAGGTGTGAAGATACAGCCTGAGGCCTACCAGTTCATCTCACATGATGGCTTACTGCTTTACTCAGATTTACTGGCACATTTATTAACAACCATCTCATCTCATTTTGGTGAATCAAGGGAGTTTAGTCCCATCTCTACAAAATTTCTGACTCTTGGTTATGGCCAATAATTATTTATTGTTCTATTTAACAATAAGGTGGTAGTTGTGATGCTTTATCATTTTGTCCATTTTTCAGCTAAGGAAATGCTTTTGAGAGGAGTTGTGCTGTGAACAATAAAAATCAGCCTTCTAAATGTAGAGAACTACTTAATGGTCAAGTTTACATACACACTCTTTTCTTTCTAATCATTTCAAATTTTATTTTACTTCTGAAAGGACAATGAACGTTTAGTATAATAGACTTCAATCCAACCCCCAGAACCCTAATGAATTGGGTATAAATCACTTCCTTTGGTATCCATGGTAATAGTTCCATAATCTCCTTAGACACCAACATCTGCAGATAAAGGAGTCCTTTATATAATATGCAAATCATTTGCATATAATTTATATATACCCTCCTGTATACAAAGTCATCTCTAGAGCTTATATGTTTAGTATGATTTAAATGCTATACAAATAGTTGCTATACTACACTGCTTTGGTAATAAAAAATGAGAAAAAAGTCTGTATGTTCAAAACAGATATAACTGCTTTATCTGAAGTTGGTTAAGTTTGCAGATGGGGAACTCATGGACATGTGGACTGACTGTGTGTCTAAACATTCTTCCTCCTTCAAGAGGAAAATCTCTTTGCACACCTCAAGAGAAAGAAGGTTGGGCTATCACCTCTACATTGCAGATGCAGACAAGTCACAGTAAGAGAAGGTAATGGCTGGCAGTCAGTACTGTACTCTGCTGTTCCACAGATCTAGGCTTTGCTTCCTAGATCAACGATCTCATCCCTAATACAACATGGTTATATATTAAACCAGGACATTTAATTTCCAAAACTAAGCTCTACATGAACTACCAACATTTTTTGAGTTTCAAAGTCAGAAATCTAATTTGAGTAAATGTATTATCAGAAGATAGAAATTTTCCTATAGGGATATAAAACTGACTTTAAATTATGATTGAAATACAGACCTTGCCAAAACACAAAATTCTTTGATTCACAGTGACAGGCAGAAATGGGTGGATGATGGCTAACCTGGTAGATAAAAACAAAAAAAGGCAATGAGAGCAGGGTTAAAATTTCTACAAATAATACTGTTAAAAAAATTGAAATGGTTATCTCTAATGAAAACTACAATTCTTCCATTTAGTGTAGTTGTGAATTAATGATCATGAATTAGTCTCAAAGTGCAGAAGTAAATCTTTACTTTTAAGACTTAGTGCTTAAACACAGGGAATTTATGGACATTTGGTGGGGCTGAGATATCTTTTAACTGGTGTCATAACTCATCCCAAATGATAGTTATCAAAACTGTTTCATCACCAAACTGCCTTTGAAGACTATTTTACCTACATAGAAACTTTACTTACTTGTTCTGAGAAAAATCGGAATCCTTTGTCTTCTCTAATGCATTCATAAGTCTCTCCAAGGACTGGGTTGAATGGCTTACTTCCTGCTCTGAAATAGGTGGAGCAATATCCTGAAACTGCAAATGCAGCAACAAGAACCTGTTAAAATATTCAAAAGAGGGACACAATATAGAGGAGTCTATTGCCAGCTGGGTCTGTTTGTCTCTATTCCTCTACATCTTCTTCAGTCCATGTTGATTTCATGCCATTTTTCAGTTAGTTGCCCCAAATCTTCTTCATCAGTGCACAAGGGGAAAGTAAACTATCATGAGGTTAAATTATTCCTAAGGGAAGCAGCAGGTCAGAGGTCACGTACTCTTCATTCATACGTGTACCCACTATCATGAGAGTTCAGAGGTAATAAAACCAGTTTACAGATTATGCCACATGTATCATCTTAACATTGTGTGTGGGTGTGGCTGCTGGTGCCTGTCCAAGAACAGGGTAAGTTCTCCACAGTCATGTGGAGTAAAGGGTAAAGTACCAACAGTAAGTTACTTTCTGAACAGATGGACTCCTTTGGCATTTAGAAAAGATGGCAAAACAAGGTCCAACAGGCTTTCAGCCTCTAAAAACTAATACATCTTTGCATCTTAACTTCACAGCATACACTTTAGGCTACTAAAAAGTAAAAAGACGTGGATATTCTAGTAAGAGTATCTGGCACCGTTTGGCCCTATTTGATGATGCAAACAGACTATTTTCTCCTTTATCTATGCAGTGAGAATGTTATAGGAAACATAAAATGTGTTATCATAATGGCTTGTAGCTTAGGCCTGGTCCCCGCAGGGCACTGCCCTGTCCTTTATTACCATGCGCTCATATGGATCATCTGTCTCCGATGCCTTGTCCAGTAGCTCACTGTACTCGATCTCCTCACAGAGATGCTGCAGGGTGTTGAGTGGCTCATTGAGTTCCACAGGCATGGAGACTTTTGACAGGTCTTTGCCGATGTTGTTCCTCAAGATATTCCACAAGTTAATGTTACTGGTGTCAGGGCAAGGGGCAGGCAGGCAAGTACGACGGCCATTCCGGAAGGCGCCTCCTGTAAGCTCCCCATTCAGGACTGGGGAGGGAGAATCACAGTGAGAGATGCTTTGCTTTTCTAATTTTATAAAACTAGAGAGACAGTTACTCAAATAATTCTGATTATAATGCATTTCTTTTTAGTACACTCTCTCAAGAACCAAGTTATTTCTGTATGAGATTGCCAACAAATGCACAGAGCATCAGTTTTTTAAAAAAGTAAACTACTGAATTTACTCAAATATTAAGACAAGTCAAATGGAAAAATAAATGTACATAATAAGTGAGGTAATTTTTTTTACTTCACCACATACCTAAGTGGATGTCATGAGTACCTCAACAGACTATGCATTATACAATTTATAGAAAAATCAGTTGAAAAAAGAACAATTAAAGGTGATAAGGTGGATGACTGTTCATTAATTCACCAGTTTTATAATTAGAATAACCAAGACCAAATGATGCATACTTTGCCGAGAGATGTTGTCCGCAACACTAGTATTGTCTTCAGATATGTTATCACTCACATCACTGATGTAAGACTCATCATCTGATGCCTAGGAAAGGGAAGAACACAGAAGGAATCAGAATTCTTATGATTCTTGCCTCGACAGCTCAACTCATTAAAGGACTAATAAAACTACAAGAAACCAAAATACTAGCCATGCACCAGTGGCTTACATCTATACTCAACAGCTACTCAGGAGGCTGAGATCTTAGAATCACAGTCTGGAGCCAGTCCAGGCAGACAAATCCACAAGATTCTTATTTTCAACTAACCAGCAAAAAGCCAGAACTGAAGGTATGGCTCAAGCAGTAAAGTGCCAGCAATGAGTGAAAAAGTCCAGCAAGAATGAGAAGCCCTGAATCAAAGCTCCAGGACTTATAAACAAAAACCAAGAAAAACCAAAATACTGCTGAAATGAGAAAGAGATATAATGGTGGAAAATATATCTGGCTTATGTGTAAAGAACACTTAAGTCTTCTGTGAACTGGTCACCGGTTATTTGAAAGGAGCCTGGTCTTTAGCACCTTGAACTAGTTATGGCAGAAGACTAGGGAATGCCAGTATACAGCTAGAGATATTTTAGGATAAAGCAGCAAGAATATACAGAAAGAAGTCCCCATGACTCTACCTAGATCTAGAAAAGGCTGCCCAGAGCAAGTGACATGTGAACTCTTGTGTTGGAAAATGAAAATGGGGAGATGCACAGGAAGAAGGGAAAGTGTGCAAAGCAAGGACCATGAGAGAAGCATCTACCCTAAGAATGGCAGGAAGTTGAGAGTGGCAAGAAAGAGGGTGGGGAGAACAGGAAAAAAAAAGGAACTGACAGTGATAGGCTTTTCAAGCCAATGTTTACATATAACCCCATGGGTTATTAAAAATCAACAAAAAACGTCAGATTTAGTTTTCAGGAAGACTCTTGAAAGCTTTACTTTGAATATACACAGATCCAGGTAAAACAAATACATCCTAGAATCAGATCATTTCAGTGGGGATAAATAAGAAGAGATCAAGAATTAAGCTACTCTCCACATATCTGAAGGGATGTAAGTCTGTTTTCTGCAGTCTATATATGCACACCATGCTTACAGTAGGTCTATTCACAAAAGACAATCTATGGAATCAGCCTATGTGCCCATTCATGGACTGATGAACTGAAATAGGAAATATGGAACAGGGCTGGGGCACGGCTCAGTGGTAAGAGCTCCTGTCTAGAATATGTGCAATATATCCACAATTGAGTATTATTTACCCATATAAACAATATAATTTAGTTTGCAGACAAATATGTGGAACTTGACATTATCATGCTGATCAAAATGAGTTAGTCTCAGGCAAATAAATGACATAAATGTAAAAGGGGAACTTGACTGTGTGTGGAGAAAATTAACAGGAAGAAGTAGGGTGGAAAGATAAGGTGAAAATGAGGGAACTGAGTATGATTAAAGTACTTCATTTGAATTTACAAAAAAATAAAATCTAGGATAAACTTTATCCTGGAGGATAAAGGAGGGTAGGAGAGATAAGAAAGTGATAGACGATCAAAGTACATTCATTACCTGCACATACAGAACTATCACAATAAAATCCGTATGTATAATATAAACTAGTATGTAATATAATTAATACATAGTATATGTAATAACTATAATATATTTTAATATAACATAATATATGTTATAATTACATAATATATACAATGATATAATTATAATAATATATTACAATTACTATAAGCTAGTAAAAAGAGAATTGAGACACTAACATTATGAGGAAAACATGGATTAGTTCCACCCTAAAATAAAACAAAAAATAACATAAAAATAAAATTAAGGAAAAATATATCCCCTAAGAACAGATGAGAAAGGAGAGTTGGGGGGTCTCCATTTATAACCAACCCATCCTGAACCAGCATCTTTCTACTCAAAGGCTGACAGGTGTGAACTACTGGGCTCAGTCACTGAGTGAGAAGTCTTGTGAACTTTAATGCCTGGTTGGCATCGAACCATTGATGCCCTAATCTCTGCCTCTTAAATCACTAGAATTACAGGCTTGAGTTACCAAACACAGCTACATCATCTTTTGTAAACTTTCTAATATGTATAAGATATCTCTGTAACATCTGAATTTCATCTTTTGTGAATTTATTTTCTAATCTTTCACATATTTTTCTGCCATCATACAAACTGTATATTTTTTTCTGGCTTGCAATTTAGTTTGTATCTGTTTATTCCAAAGATTTTTTTGCCCTTAAAAGTTCTAAATTTGTGTGTAGTGAAAACAATTAGTCTTTATTTGGAAGGTTTCTGGGATTATTGCTAATGTTTTTAAAATTAGGGTTGAAAAGAACTCATATATTGAGAGTGAAGCTCCAGGAAAATGAGTGCATGCATGGATGATTAATGGGTGTTTTGCTTTTGCACACAGAGGAAATCTACAAAGATAGAAAAATAATAGTAATTTTTTTCTGATTCATATCTGCACTACACCTCGCTCCCATTCTTCCCATTGACTGCAACACTGCTGAAGGGTAAACTACCAGGCCAACTAGAAAAACTAACTTTGTTAGCTTGATAGAGAAAACAGGTACATCAAACTTTCCCACACAATGTCTCTGAAAATAGCTAATTATATATTATATTCAACTACATCTGAGGGAACAAAAACTTGAATTCCTACTACATGAATATATATTTTTTGAACCTTTGTGAAGGAAACTCTTGTGTTTCTGCTACAGAAAGCTAAAAACAAGAATACCTCTTCAATTTCTGTTCTCTCACACTAATCTATGTCATCATAATGATTCAATATTATTGGCATAGAAGAATTTTGCAATGATGGCAGGATGTGTACATGTCATATATGTTTGTTCAGTAGCTGAGTCTGGGCTGTTCTGACAAGTTCTCCTGTAGGGAGGGAGGCCAAGGATTTGTGAGATTATACTAAAAGTCTGTCAAGAAATCCTAGAGGCAAATACTCTTTTTATGAACTTCAGGACTAAATGAGTTCAAGCAATATTATTTCCTAAATTTCAGGCATGTGGCATTGCACAAACAAGTTTTTTAAGAGCAGAGACAAGTCAAGTAGCTTATTCGAGAAATTAAGAGACCATTTGAAAAGTGTCAACCGGATTTATTTCATGCACTTATGTTTTGAAATTAATTTATTTTTTTTTTGGATCCGGTCGTGGAGCCTGAACTCTGGGCCTGGGCGCTGTCCCTCAGCTCTTCAGCTCAAGGCTAGCGCTCTACCACTTGAGCCACAGCACCACTTCCGGCTTTTTTTTTTCTGCTTATGTGGTGCTGAGGAATCGAACCCAGGGCCTAATGCATGCAAGGCAAGCGCTCTACCACTGAGCCACCTTCCCAGCCCCCTGAAATTATTTTTAAACAATATCTGTAAGCAGTTGTACAATGGATTTTCAATTTAAAAAGTCTAGTTTTGTACACAAATGCATCTTGATCGGTGTCACCCCTTAAGGAGATTCCTCCCCGCCCCCCTTTTTTTGTGTATTCCAGTCCTGGGGCTTGGGCCTGAGCACTGTCCCTGAGTTTTTAGGTTCAAGGCTAGTATCCTACTACTTGAGCCACATCCTACTTTCTGCTTCGATGATTAATTGGAAATAGGAGTCTCGCAGACTTTTCTGCCCAGGCTGGCTTTGAACCATGATCCTCCAATCTCAGCCTCCTAAGAAGCTAGGATTACATGTATGAGCTCCTGGTGCTTGGCAAGGAGACCATTTGTTTTTAAAGGAGAAGGAAACTCATCAGGTAAAGTGCATTAATAAATGGTCCCAAAATAGAGTGTTTCCCTAGTGATGGAAAATGTCAATGTGAATCAAGTAATACCCAGATGCTCTTTAGAATAATGATAGGTCATGGTACTAAACGCTTTCCTTCCATTATTCCATTCATAAATATTTATTGAATACTTGCTCTGGGCTCAGCAGACTGTCACTGTGCTGGAGATAAGAGTGGTGCGGTCTTTGCCCTCGTGAAACTTATACTCTAGTGGGAGAGGCACAGGAGACAAGTGAAATACAAGAAATATTTGTGTGTTAAGCAGTATATCTTATGAAATAAAGGGCTCAAGCCATAGGAATGGCATTCATTCCTTTATGGTGTGGGTTGTAGGATTCTCTCTTTTCTACAGCAAGGGATACCAGTGTCTTCAGCAGATCAATAATTGCAGGAACCATTCTGTTGGCTGTTGGAAGGTTTAGAATAACAGAAGTAGCACAAGGTTACACCTGAGAACTAGGATCAGATTTGAAAGGGTCTTTGAGTGATAGCTATGCATGTAGATTTTCACCCTAAGAAACTTGGGGGGTAGGGGATAGAGTTGCCTTTTAGAAGTGTCAATCAGATGGTGACTCACACCTGTAATCCTGGCTACTCAGGAGGCTGTAAGCTCAGGATCATGGTTTAAAGCTAGCTGAGGCAAGAAAGTCCATGAAACTCTTATCACCACTAAACTACTCAGAAAAAGCCAGAAGTGGTGCTGTGGCTCAAGTGGTAGAGTGTTAGCCTCGAGCACAATGAGGCTCAGGGACAGCTCCCAGCCTTGAGTTCAAAGCCGAGGAATGGCAAAAAAAAAAAAAAAAATGTGAATCAGGTTTCAATTTAAAAAGTACAATTTTGTATACAAATGCATCTTGATCAGTTTTCACCCCTTAAGGAGACATTTTTTCCTTTTTCTTTTGTGTGTATGTGTGATTGTGTGTGTGCCATTCCTGGGGCTTGAACTCAGGGTCTGAGTTTTTGTGCTCAAATAGAACCAGTTATGGGACTAACTGGGTACCAGGGAAGAAAATGATCAGTTATTGGGTTGGAGCAGTGGCAGTGAAGCTTCAAGGAAACAATGAATCTGAGAAGTTGCAGGAATTGATGAATGGATTGGTATGCATGGTAGGAAGAGATAAAAGGGGTGAACAAAAGTAGCCAAGTATTTGATGCTAACACCTGGGTAGAAGAGCCTTAAGATAGTAAACCAGTAGTAGGGATGGGTTATTTTTAGTCTTTGGAGGTAGACAATGACTATGAAAAGGGTTTGTTGAGTAAATTTTTTTGGAATGCTGAATTAAAGATTCTGTGAACACCAAAGTAGTAAAGTCTAACAGGTAGTTGGCTATGTGGATTTTGAAGTGACTCTCTCCAAATCTACTCTGTCCTTGAATTTTAGACTTGGCTATCCAAATACCTGAGAGATGACCCCAAGAGGTCCAACAAACTCATGATGCCTAAAAGTAAATGTATTATTTTCATGTTGAATACTACTTCCTCACTTCTCTGTTATTAGACTCACTCTTCCCCTTTGGACTGATGCAATAATTTGTTCCAAATCTTCATTTCTATATCCATAGTGACTAATGACACTGATACCTGGACACCCAGCTAGATATACACCAAGAACTTGGGCCCAGGAAGATAGCTTATTGGATGATGGGTCTGAGCTCATATACTATGCAATCACACTTGACTGCAACCTGACTGAAGAAGGGTAGAGGGTTGATTAGTAATGGAGGCTCAGAAGAAGTCAGCCCCCAAAATTCTACTACCCAGGAGGCTGAGAAAGGAGGGTTGCAAATTTAGGGCTAGCTTGTGCAACAAAATGAGACCTTGTCTCAAGACAAAAAAGAAAATTCTGGTAGCATGTCTCTGGCATGATATACTAAACACCTGTCCACATGACAAGGTAGAGATTCTGATCTCCTCAACAAAAGGAAGGGAGTTAAAATTCCTGATCCTCTTAGCCTGTGGTTCACTCAACTCACTTTTCCTTTTCATTGCTCCCCAAGTAACCTTCCTGGCAGCAAGATTAAGCTTGTCATGCAGATTTGTCTATAGGGAATATAGAAAGCAGGATTATTCTGTCCCTCTATAATACTAATTATCATTACAATAATTAAATTGCTCCTCTGGCTTCTAATGGAAGTATCGGTGAACATGTTAATGCATGCCTGGAGATCTGAGAGACACGTGTATGTCTTGGATACTAAAAGATTCAGCATCTGATACAAGATTCTATTTTACGAAGTGATACTTGTTCATTATTTCCTTTTCTTTTCCACTTCTTTCACTTAAAACAAAACAAAATTTTCAACACCTCAAATTAACTACTAGTATTTGTTAGAATGTTTCCTCTGATTTTCTACACATATAGAAATAACGTTTGGTAACTATCTCATTTTTTTTTTGTAAAAATGTAATGCAGATTTTCAAATTGCAAAATATCTAATAGTTCATGTGGGAGTTTTATCTTCTATGCAAGAAACCAAATGACAAGAAAATAAGCAAAAAAATTAAAGCATACCTGAATATGTTTTAGTAACAGAACTAATTTCTGCAACCTGGTCAAGAAAGTGATTCTTCATTTCCAAAACATTTTCAAAACTCATGAAAATGAACAACAATATAATGAAGTTTTTGTGGTGGCCAATGGCTAACCTTCACAAACTGTAATTCTCCAAATAGATATGTGCAAACCATCATCTTTCTAAACTCAAATTTGTATCAGTGCCTAGATACATGATATGTATGCTTCTGCATGCACTAATGGTGATTTTCTAATTCTCTCATTTTCTCCTACATTTAATTAGCTAGTTTACCTCTTCAAAGAACTCCGCCATCAACTATTTGGTTAATTTGAAATATGAATCGTGGAAAAAAGTCACAATAAATGTTTTATTTTTTCCCTTTATGCATCAAATTTAAGAAAAATAATTTGAAGCTCAGAAGTGTTGTCAAGAACTCAGTAAATAGCAACTGATGCACTTTGCATGTTTTTGGCTCTCCTGCAATTGGAGCACCTATGATGGAAACAAATATAACCATAGCTTTTGTTTAACACAAACTCACATTCACAAGCAGTAGAGGTTGACATATCCAGGAATCTTACCTCATTCTCTGATGAGCTTGCGGACAGAAGCACCTCTTGAGCATCAAAAAACTCAGATACGGACTCTGACATGGATAGGCGGCTCTCATTGGCTACTTGTTGTGACAGGGGGAGACTGACATGGATTTGCTCACCAGGCTATTATAGAAAGGAAAGACATATGGTTTAATTTGTGTGTGTGTGTGTGTGTGTGTGTGTGTGTGTGTTTCTGCCTTCTGGCAGAGAAGATACTTTTTTTGTGACCATGGAGTTGGACCTTGTACTTGCTCTGTGTGCTTGCTTTGCAAGTGCTCTACTTTGAGCCATGCCTCCAGCCTTGCTTTGTGTTGATTATTTTAGAAATGGACTCTCATGGACTTTTCTGCAGGAGTTGGCTTTACGCTTGGATCCTCTAAATCTCAGCCTCCTGAGTAGCTAGGATTCCAGGCCTGAGCCAAATTGCTTTGTAGCAAGAATAGCTATTTCTTCACTTTAGTTGGATCTCTATAGAAAGCCACACTGTGTATTAAGAATAGTGACACTTTCTACTACATACAATTCATTCTATGTCTAATGACTCCAAAAGGCGTAGTTGAGAGATGTTGGATGTTGACTTGATTTAAAATCCCTGCTCAATTGACAGTAAATGAAACTTAACAGGGTAAGCCTCTATTAACAGAACTGGTGCTTAAAAGCTGCTTTTCCTGGGCTTACAAATTAAATTAAAAGCAGGAGAAATGCTTTGCACCTCTGCCTTCATTTCATATGTGCTTCTGCTCTAAGCCATTTCTCTGTAGTCACTTTGCAATCACTTTCCAATCATCTTAGCTGCCAGGAACTACAGTATTGACTGATAATATCTATGACAAGGGAACAAACTATTGCTGTGAAGCCTCAGAACCTCCTCAGAACAGACCACTGACTATGGGAGGAGGATGTTTATTGTGACTGCCAGAACAACTTCCCCAGAACCCCTCCCCAAACAAGGACTGAAATAATAGTCAGCCAGGCCACACTTTGACCACTGTTTAATAATTATGCATACATATCTCATTCTCCCCCCTAGTTTTTGTCTATGAAGCCTAAACCTCGTGTCTGTACCCTAAACATAGCTAAAGATACATTGAATTGCTATTTATTCATTCTCTGTCTTTTACCATAAACATTTGGCATAAAGAGGTGAGCGACCAGACCTGACATGTAGAACTTCTGGAGTTTGGGTCTGAGATCTATAAATTCTGATTTCTATTAACAATCTGAATTGATTATACAAATTCACTCTTTTATTCTTAAGCTTGCCATTACTAGTCATGTTCTAGTTAGGTATATCAAACCTCAAGAAGTACCTCTAAAAACTGCTAGAGACATTCTAAGAAAATGACAGCTAAGACAATTTTTGAGATAGAATATAAAAAATCATTTTCCAATTAGGTGATAAATTTTGGCCAATAAAACATGACCATATTTCAAATAAAATATTAGATTTTGTTCAATAAGTGATAAATGATTGTTTTCAAGGAAGCTATTTGTTTTAATCACAAAATATGCAAGAATATATACTATACATATATTCTACTTACACTTCAGGTCGAAAGAAGACTCCCATTGAGGATTATTAAATAAGTTTTTTAATATTTTTTTTATTGAAAAGGTGATGAGCAGGGTGGTTACAGTTACATAAGCACATTTGTGTACATAAGTACATTTGTTTTATTAAATAAGTTTTTAACGATAAATTTTAGAAAGACTTCCAGATTGTGCATAGTTTGCTGAATACAAAAGTCATCAGAGATTAAGGGTATCGGGGCACATGGAAGCAGTTGCAGGCAACTTAATCAAAGATAGGCTGCTTTGGGATAATATATCCTAAGCAGTTAGGTAGTAGAACCAACTCTCAAACTTGTAGATTTCTAACAAACTATAGGTTTTTTTTTTTGTTTGTTTGTTTTGGGTCGGTGGTAGGGCTTGAACTCTGGGCCTGGGAGCTGTCCCTCAGCTCTTCAGCTAAAGGCTAGTGCTCTAATACTTGAGCCACAGCACCTCTTCTGGTTTGCTGGTGGTTTATTGGAGATAAGAGTCTCACAGACTTTCCTGCCAGGGCTGGTTTGAACTGCGATCCTCAGATCTCAGCCTCCTGAGTAGCTAGGATTACAGGCGTGAGCCATTACGCCTGGCTACTACAGGTCTTTAATGCAAAGAAGATGCAAGTATTAGTTAAAACTCTCATCATCACCGTGTTGAAAAGTATGAGTTCTAAGGGCCATAACAGCAGTTTTATAAAAGGTTCAAACAGAATTACATGTTGTTTAGCCAAAATTTGAATTATTCTTTTTCCCCCTTTTTTATTGTCAAGATGATACACACAGGAGTTAGTTATATAAGTAAGGTAATAAGTACATTTCTTATCAAATTTGTTATCTCTTCCCTCATTTTTCTCCTACTTTCCCTCTCTCCCCAACCCCCTCATCTACTATTATTTCTTGAAATGGAATAATAATTGAAACATTTACCTTAGAGTGTTGTTGTCAGTACCAAATTGGACAATACATGAATGATTAGTACAATTCCTAGTACACAGTGAACATTCACTTGACAACTGTTAACTATTAATTATAATAATAGAAGCTGCAGTAGCATAATTAGTGTTGCTATAGCAATTTTACATGACTTCTGTCTTTAGATAGTTCTTTCTAACCAAACTTTAAGAAAATTTTTATGTAACAACATTTTTACGACAGTTAAAATATGCCTGTTGCTAACACTGGCTATTTGATCCTAATGAATGAGACAGATATAAGAAAATTAGGCTGGAGTAGATAAATAAACATCTGGTGACATCATATGAACAGAGGAATGAAAATAGACACTGACACCAGGAACAAATTATGTCATGTGTGTACATCCGTTACTCAAAAGAACACTGAACTGTCAGTGATACTAATATTTATGGGGAGAATCTCATTACAGTGAATTAACTGTATTGAAATAAAAACATGCACTAATTCTATATGCTATGAAATAGGTATTTTATGTCCATTGAAAACAAATCTTACCTCATCTGGGCTAGGAATAATATTTACACTGACAACCTGATCACAAATAATAGACTCTGAATGTATTCTGTTCAGCCGACTCCTTAGTTCAGCATTCTGGTTTAGTGCCTTAAAAGAACAAAAACTGAAGTTGTAATTGCCCATTAACAAACATAAAACAGAACAAGTATACAGGTACAACTTTAACAGCAAAGTCTCTGATGTTCTTAGCCAACTTTTGGAGTTATCACGAGCCAGATCCTATCAGTAAGTACAAAATAAATGGCTCAGAAGTCAGTTAATAATTTTTTTGTCAGTTATTATTACTACCTAGTAGATTATTGAACTGAAAGAATTTATGCTCATAATCAAAATGACACAGAGGAATTTTCTCTCCCTTAGAGGCAGGCCTATTACATATCAGCCCAGTCTACCACCACATATATATTACCTTTTATAGTTGTGGATGAAAACTAATGACACTTTGGGTCTTTTGGTCTCTCTTTTACTTGATCTAAAGTTTAGGAATCATTTCAAAGTTAAGAAATTATCTTAAAAATTATTTGGAAATGGAATGAATAAAAATGTGCTGTATATAAAGAATTGTATTTTATCTGGCTAAAGAAAATTGTATTTTACCTAGGACTGCTTAGTAAACACATGAGAACACTGCAGCAGAACAAATGCTTACAGACCAAATGCTGCCTCCACTGAACAGAGAAGACACTGATGATTATGATAAAGAACAAAACACCAATAGGAAGCCAACTCTAAGATGGCTACATCACACTACGTTTCCCACACCATAAACAAGCAGTAAAACACCACTTGCTCTAACACAGTGTGTGCAGTAACTACATTGATTGCAAGAACAGAATAGCTTTATATAAGCACGACCCCCATGGAAAAAAGTACAATGAACTATCTGGGGATGCACATGACATTGATCTGATGCATAAGAATACATTGAATTTCTTTTTTCTTTTTTAAAGATATGGTCTCTCTCTCTCTCTCTCTCTCTATATATATATATGTATATATATTTTTATATGTACTTCAGATGGTCCTTGAACTCACTACACACACACACATATGCACACACACACACATCCAGGCTGTCTTTCTTTTTTTCTCCCCTTTGCAGTACTAGGGTTTGAACCAAGGGCTGTGTGTATGCTAGGCAAGCACTCTAACCACTGAGTTATATCCCCAACCTAGTATGTTCCATTTTTGACACAGATGTGGTTCAGCATATTTCTATCAAGCCTCAAGTACAAGACTGTGGGAGAGCACGCCCCAGTAAAAAGATATGCAATTCTTTTCCTTTCTATTAAAATTGCAAGTAGAAGATGGAAGTGATGATTTAGGGTGGAGGATAAATGTAAGGACCCACTGAAGAGGTTATTAGCTATAGTGAATGGGCATTTGCTTTATTTAGACTAATATGATAAACTAATATGTGTACAATATAATACCTTAATTATAGCTGCACCTATCAAACTCACTCAGGATAAATACAAAAGAGCAAAACTCTACACTTGCGCTGAGCAGGACAAACTCCTGCACGTGGGTAAGAACGGCTGCGTCTCTTCTCTCTCCAGGCTGGTTCCTACTGTTTGCTCTCTTTTTTGTTTTTTGAGGACAGATTTGTTTCCTTGCAGCTTTTGGCTTTTGTTTAAAGCTTTTGGAGCCAGTTTGGAAACTATGTCAAATAACACAGGATCTGGTGTGTCAAATATTGAGCGATTAACTGTGGGTACAGATTCAACATGTTTGAATCTAAGAAGAAACATGTGCCTGGTTACCTGAGAAATCAGGGATATATTAGAAAAGGTTATTATGTTCTGAAAGAAAGAAAGAAAGAAAGAAAGAAAGAAAGAAAGAAAGAAAGAAAGAAAGAAAGAAAGAAAGAAAGAAAGAAAGGAAGGAAGGAAGGAAGGAA